TGTATATCTATATCTATGTAAATAAGATTCGTTTACAATACATGTGCAGTACCTTTTCTTTTCTGGGTGGACCATGGCGCAAAAGATTTAAAAGTATTTGTATTTTATTTTAATCAATTTTATTATCGAAAATGAGATTATGAGGCGTGTACTTTTGGATTTTCCAAACTTTTTGTCATTTTGTTATGATTAAAAATTTAATCGTTTAAAATTGTTTATCTGAGCAGAAGGTTGGCAATGGCCTGGTCGGCTCGGTGCTCACTTTTCGAAAGAGTGGGACCCGGGTTCGATCCCAGCACGCACCAATATTTTTCAGAATAAAATATGTGCGTAACGCTACATTGCCAACCTCTGGAAGTGGCAGAGATAGCCGGGCGGTACACGTCTGACTTGGGCAATCACCCATTTAAGCAACAACTTAAATGAGTGACCACTCTAGTCAGCGTTGGCTAGCGCGAGGGATCTCTGCACACTAGGAGAGGGGCCTAATGCTCCAGTGGTCGATAAAGAAGAATTTCTTATCTATCACTGTAGACTTAACCCAGCTCCGACTGTACTAACATGGGTTTTCTCTGTGGTTTCCCCATGTTTCTGTTCCAATACCCGAGTGGTAAGGATCAGGGTGAATACGGTACAGAAGGCACAAGTCGGTCCACAGCCGCAATGATAAAGGCAGGTTAAGGCAGGTTAACTAAGCAGAAATGTGAAGGCTTAAGGTGTAAAAGGGCGTTATTACGCCTGTACACTAGAAATCCATTAACTAACTTGTTTATCTGAGCATCGCTAAATATATTATCTTAATATTTCTTTAAGTTAGAAAAAAAATAAATTATTTATTTCTTATCTCTGTTCATTTTTGGTTAATTCTAAAATGTTTTGAAAAGTTCAACATTTACTTATTTACTTAGGTTTTGTTTTTAAAACTCTTTTCGGCTTTTACTTATTTTTATCATATCTTATCCAGTAAAGAGAGCAATAAAATTTCCATTTACTCGTGTATTTAAGGTCTTAAGCCCTTGAAAACATCTGAGACCGGCTAATGACGGGAAAATTTTCGAGAGACCGGATGAGACACAATGTATTTTTTTATTATTTTGATTTTTCTTTTTTTTCAGAAAAATTGTTAAAAATTAATTTTTTGAAAGATCTTTAATAATTATTTTAATTATCAAAAAATGGTGAAGCAATGATTACCCTGATTTTAACATTATTTTTTAAAGAAAATAATCTTTATACACTAAAAATAACAAATTAATATCTTTTATTTAAATTTAAAATATATATATCCATATAATTTATCAAGCTTCAAATTCATTTTCTTTTTTTTTTTGCATTCATTCAACTCTAACAAAAGTGCGATTCGACTTGAAAACTTTTCAGACAAATTCATTGTGCAGTGAAAACCGCACAAAAGGCAATTCAATGTACCAATTCTAATCACCTAATCCGCTTATAAATCTTAACGAATTTAAACTGAATGTATAGAGTGGGATTAAATCATAAAGTTTTTCTAACATGACAGATTTATAAAGACTTAAATTTAAAGTAAATTAATCTCTATTAAACAGATACTTCTTTCAAATATGTTTATTCAAGGTGTTTGTAATAAATGACACGCTATTAAAATATACATCAATTATCCGTAATTGCTTAATGTAATAAGCATGAGATGTGTACTTCTGATTCGGACGTGATTTATCAATATCAAATGATACATTTATAGAGACTATTTTCCGTTAAAAAGGAAAATTATAAATAATGAGAGGAGAATGAAAGAGTAAAAGATGTTAACTGATAGAAAGGCAAGACGTGTATCATCATTTATAGCCAGGGGTACGAGACTCGAAGCGTCGCGACGTAATTCACTTACTTTAGTCGTGCAACTGACGTTAATCGATCGACATTAGCTCATGCCCCTCTACGATTAACTTATGATCGATTGACGATAAACAGCGCGATCCTGGCTTACGTGCAATTTAGTCATGAATCAGGTTTTCGCCTTACATCAACTGGTAATAAAACAAATTATACGTTTCTTTTTATTTAAATTGGATTCAAACTTAATCAATGTTTCGTGAGAACTATACTGTCAATTTTTTTTTAGCCCACTGATTGTTTTTCATAAAATATAAGGGTTTCAAAGCAAAATGTTTATTATAAAAAAAATTCTAATAAACTGATGAAAGTAAAAATTTATAAAGTTAGACTGCAAATGATAAATTCTAGAATTTCAGAACTTTTTTATTCACATCTATTATATTTACCAGTAAAAGCATTTATTGAAGAAAAAAACAACAATAATAGAACTTACATGCTCCTTGAAAAGATTTTCTGATATGGCGTTCTATGTCTATTTCAGATCTGATATAGTGATATATTCTTACATATAATTTTTTTCTACAAGAGAGTTATATTTGATGTGTTAAGTTTTGACATGAAAATAAATCTTTTACTTTCTTAAGGAGCTTATATGATATTGGTTTTCAGGTTAATCAACTACTAAATCATTGATTCTTAAATACGACATGTTCATTAACGTACACATTTCTTGAAAAATAATTAGGAAAATGGATGACCCTGAAGGCTATCCCTGCAACTTTCCGCTACTTTCGTAATTAAGCGCTCAAAATCGCACTTGTTACGTTTTTGAGCTCTCCGAGCTCAAAAGTCTGATAGAAGTTTGATAAAACACTATTTTTTGAATTTTCAAACCGCAATTACTTTTGAATGAATGAAACTGATTCTCACGCGGTTGGCGGCATTCGACACAGTTTTTCAAATCCTATGATATACTTTCAAACACAAATTGATCAGACCGGAAATTTCGGTGCAATTCGAAAAAAACACTTTTTTTCGATATATTTCGTCAACGATAACTCATGAACGAATCAACCGATTTTGACCGGCTTGGTGGCGATCAACGTGGTTTTTTGATTTTAAGAGCTGATTAGTTTTTGAAATTGATCGGTCAATCCGTTTAAAAGTTATTCAAAAAAAACCACATTTGAAAAATTTTTTTTTCATCGTTTCTTTTGAGATTTATCAAAATCTACCGGTCCGAATCAGTCCAAACTGTTTTCGAAATATAAGTTCAGTCAAGCCCTTTTGAATGGCGCCAACCACGATGAAATCGGTCAAGTCGTTCAAAAGTTACGAGAGGTTTACATACAAACAGGGTAAAACTAATAACTTCCCGAATTTTAGAAAATTTTCAATTTTGCTTAGCGGGAAGTTAAAAATTCCTCAATTAATCTACCTATTCATCTATGGATTTCTATACAATCCGAAATGTGTATATTTTTGATAGAGAGAAATTATCAGAGTTTCTACTAATAGATTTTTCAATTATTGGATAAATTAACACTAGCTAACCTTAATCGTTATTCACATTTTGAAATTGTTACTGGTGGGGAAATTCAGAAATTGTGAAAGTAAAAAAGACTGCCAGAGAAAGTTATCGTGATAGAGTTAATTTGGAACACAATCGTGTGACTTAATTTTGTGTAGTCCGTCAATAAAAACTGTCTTAACATTAAATATAAAAAGTTATTAAATAACCCAAAGTGTTTTTAATCAAACGTTAAAAATAATAAACAATTTATAATGATTAATTCTTCGTCATTTTCTGATTCTCACGCGGTTGGCGGCATTCGACACAGTTTTTCAAATCCTATGATATACTTTCAAACACAAATTGATCAGACCGGAAATTTCGGTGCAATTCGAAAAAAACACTTTTTTTCGATATATTTCGTCAACGATAACTCATGAACGAATCAACCGATTTTGACCGGCTTGGTGGCGATCAACGTGGTTTTTTGATTTTAAGAGCTGATTAGTTTTTGAAATTGATCGGTCAATCCGTTTAAAAGTTATTCAAAAAAAACCACATTTGAAAAATTTTTTTTTCATCGTTTCTTTTGAGATTTATCAAAATCTACCGGTCCGAATCAGTCCAAACTGTTTTCGAAATATAAGTTCAGTCAAGCCCTTTTGAATGGCGCCAACCACGATGAAATCGGTCAAGTCGTTCAAAAGTTACGAGAGGTTTACATACAAACAGGGTAAAACTAATAACTTCCCGAATTTTAGAAAATTTTCAATTTTGCTTAGCGGGAAGTTAAAAATTCCTCAATTAATCTACCTATTCATCTATGGATTTCTATACAATCCGAAATGTGTATATTTTTGATAGAGAGAAATTATCAGAGTTTCTACTAATAGATTTTTCAATTATTGGATAAATTAACACTAGCTAACCTTAATCGTTATTCACATTTTGAAATTGTTACTGGTGGGGAAATTCAGAAATTGTGAAAGTAAAAAAGACTGCCAGAGAAAGTTATCGTGATAGAGTTAATTTGGAACACAATCGTGTGACTTAATTTTGTGTAGTCCGTCAATAAAAACTGTCTTAACATTAAATATAAAAAGTTATTAAATAACCCAAAGTGTTTTTAATCAAACGTTAAAAATAATAAACAATTTATAATGATTAATTCTTCGTCATTTTGTTGTGTTAGTTTTATTGAAGTTATAAATCGAAGTGACTCAAAGATTAACGACAGATTGAGGTCTTATTTGCGTCAATGGCTCGTCTCACTAATTCCAATAATTACCACCATAGCAACGAGAATGACAATGGGCTATAGCGCAGTATTGCTGCCACAATTGCAATCGATCAATGAATTCGGAAATGTCCTTGGATTTAATCGAAGCTTAACGCGAGACTCGGTTAGCTTGACAATTACAAGCACGAATGAGGAATCATGGATAGCCGCTTCGTCTATTCTCGCAATGGTACCCGGTTGTTGGCTATCCAGTATTCTAATGGATAAGTTCGGTAGTAAAATTACCTTCATACTGATCAAGTCTATCTTCATACTTAACTGGACAATACTCTGTGTGACAACTAAATTAATGCCATTGATATTCGGTCGTCTACTTGTGGTCTCGGTGCGGGTATCTTGGGCGCAACAAGCCCTATTTATGTAATTGAAATGAGCGATTCTCGATTGAAAAGTATTCTTTTCGCGACTCTAACTTGTGCAGTTACAATTGGAATTTTCGTTACGGACATTCTTGGGACTTGGCTTCACTGGCAACTTACCGCTCATCTTTGTAGTACTATTTCAATTTTGTGCTTTGCACTCAGCTATTTCGTACCACACGGAAAAAATATCCTATGAAAAATTACGATGTTAACATCGTAATCCAAGACTAGACTTTCAGTATGTTGATTTTTACGATGCTGCCGTCTACAGAATACAATTTGAATTATTGAAAATTACGATGTTATTTAGTAATTTTTTTTTCCGTAAAAGCAAGTGAATAAGGACGCGTACTATATGTTTTAATAAAAAAGAGACAGAGTCCAGTAGTTTGCGACGCCACCACCGAAAGATGACCAACTACTGTATGGAGAGTCTTATTATGTGACTGAACAGAAAGTATAGATATTCCCTCTGATGGCGTAAGGAGATAAGCCTTGGGCCTGTGACGGAGAGGATACCAGGTTCGATTCCTCGGTGACACAGGATTATTTTTTCGGTGAACTAAACTTCTTTTTCATTTTAGTGATAGAATTTTACGATGTTACATCGTATAAAATATAATGTTTGAGTTCTGGTCCGGCACTACAATGTTTTATACTAAAAATTACGATGTTACCATCGTAATTTTTCATAGGATTTTCTCTCCGTGCAGAAACCCCGAGTTGGTTGATCTGAAATGGTAACCACCAATCCGCCTTTGAAGTGTGGTGCTTCTTGAGAGGCGGTGCTTCTACGGAGGGATTTGAAAGGAATTGCCGCAGTAGTAGTGATGAAAATAATAATAATAATAATAATAATAATAATAATAATAATAATAATAATAATAATAATATCAGCTACAAAAATTCAAAGTTAGCATGGTACGACAAGTATTTGACTCGATTCTTTTTGTTGCCCCTGGTCATTGTTTGCGTCTTCGCTTCCACCAGTCAGTTCTCGGGGATCAACGTCGTAGAATTCTACAGTATGACATTGTTAACTGAAGTTTCTGGACCGGAAAATGCATATCTGGCTACTTTAGTTCTGGATGTTGCATCAGTAGCATTCAGCATTGTCGCATGTTGGATGGTAGCTATGTATCCTAGACGTTTACTCACGAGCATATCTGGCTATGGAACCGCACTGACTCTCTTTGCTTTGTCAGCATGTTTGTTAGCTGATTACGGTAAACCTTGGATGTCTATTGTGTTACTTTTCATCCACACTTGTACAGTGACAATCGAACTAGTACCGTTGCCTTGGCTTCTCTGTGGTGAAGTTTTTACAGATACTAGCACAAGAGCCTTTGGATCGGCATTGAGTAGTGGTTTCGCTTTTTTTTTTCTTTTTCTGTGCCGTAAAAACCGGGCCGATTGTGTTGGATATATTTTTTATCACAAGGCACGTTTGCCATTTATGGTTTGGTCGCTCTCCTAGGTGCTGTCTTCCTTCACTTTTGGCTGCCTGAGACTAAGGATAGAATCCTTGAGGACATTAAAGGTGTTTTTGTTAAAAAAACTACTAATGAGAACTTGACAGAAACTACCACTGAAACTAACAGATGTTGACTACCAGATGTTGTGTCAGTCTACATATATATATATATATATATATATATATATATTTTTTTTATACTCTTACTTTTAAGTTTAACTGTTAACTCGTTTTTTTAGTGACTGTTGGTGGAGTAAGTGTTGTCATTTTTTTATTTATACAGTTTTTGACAGTGATTCAGTGCTGTCCACTTGCCAGAGAAACCGCTTGTGATACTGATAAATGTGTGTTGTGACAGTGTGACACTTCCCCGAAAACTAATTGCTAGTACCTAATTCTCTCATTTTCCTAAAAGGATCGTTGCTGCTCGCTAGTCCAAACGCTTGTTGTCACTATGAGACTGACGAAAATTAATTTTCCTCGACATTTTGTCTAACTCACAGCTCAACTATTGCTTAGTTGTTTTTTACTTTTACCTTCTATGAATTTGTTAATTCTATTATTTGAAAAACTAAATACCCTTCCCCCATAAAAATATTATGTATTTGGAATATATGATGAACTATGAACAATTTCTATAAAAAATGTAGTAAAAACAAATGAATAGCCTACAAAATATAAATTAAAAAATTCATTTTCAATAGCTAACTTTTGAGAGATGTTTGAATTTATTTTAACTATAATTGGACAGCGATAACCAATAACGTCTTAACCAACATTATTGAAAAAACTTTTCAGACATTGTATTTTCAGTAGACAATCTTTTCTAAACTCAAATATGGTAGTTATAAAATTTTGTATACAATGTTGGTGAAGATGGTATTGATGAGCCATTAGAGAATTACAAAACTTTGAAGTTGAAAAAAAATGTTTGAGATGTTATTTAATTGGAATTAAATATCTTCGATAAGTGACCTCTAAATAGTAAAATTTAGAACTGCGCTTTTTACATGCTTTTTTGCTTATATTTCTGAATATATTTCAGTGGATATTTCGAAAAACATTACACTTATTGTATTCAGCAAGAATTCTTATTTTTGAAATAAAAAAATCTGGACAACGGTTGACCCTAAAGGCCATCCCTGCAACTTCCCGCTAATTCCATATCTAAGCGCTTAAATTGCACTTATGACGTTTTTGAGTTCTTCGAGCTCAAAAATACAACTTGTGTCTTATTTTGAGCTCTACGAGCTCAAAGAAATAGCTTTTGTATGCTTTTGAGTTCTTCGAGCTCAAAAGTTTGATAGAAGTTTAATAAAACAGTATTTTTTGAATTTTCAAACCGCAATAACTTCTAAATGAATGAACCGATTTTCACACGGTTGGCAGTATTCCACGCAGTTTATCAAATTTTATGATATACTTTTGAACACGAACTGATCGAACCGAAAATTTTAGAGAAATTTGAAAAATTCACTTTTTTCGAATTTTTTTGACAACGATAACTCACAAACCAATCAACCGATTTTCACGTTCTTGGTGGCGATCGACGTGGTTTTTTTGGCCTTAATAGTTATTTCATTTCATCAAATACGATCCAAAAAGAAATGTCGAAGTTATGTGAAAAAAAACACTTTTTTCGAAATTTTTCGTTTTCAATAACTCTCGAACGAATCAACCGATTTTGACGGGGCATACACACACAGACATACATCCGCACGGACACCATCGCGGGGATAGTCAGGGAAGCTTCCTGTAACCTCAAAACATCGAGATCTGATGAAAACTCGATTTTTACAAAACGGGGTGAAACCAATAACTTCCCGATTTTTGAAAATTTTCAATTTTCTTAGCGGGAAGTTAAAAAACACTTTTCTGAAAATTGCATGATCTTTTATGATTATTTAAAAGTATTATAGAAAAAAATTTTGTGTTGGCAATTTTTTCTTTTGCAAATCTTTGTTTTTTGACAACAGAAAAGTTTTGATCAAATTTCCTCTAAATTGAAAAAAGTTAATTCATACTATTAGTCGATTTGACATGGTATGACCCGATATAACCCAGTCGATATGACCCAGATATATTTTGAATAATCCTAAAGTTTTGAATAATTTAAAGAGGCTGATGTATATTTAGATTGAATTTTAATGAATTATTAATTGTATCATTGTCATGATCAAAAATGAAAGCTCTGAAATTTAGAACGTCAAACATTTGATTTTTGATAATCTTTGATTCGACTGTGATCTTTATTCCGCACTTAAACTATTAGAGCTAGTCTCTGTCAGTACTTGTCTAATCCATATTAATTTTAATTCTAATGAACTTGATAAATGAGTAATTAAATTGAATGTTAAGAAATTTAATCAAAAAGAAAGTCTGAGAAATTAATATAACAGAATCTTTGAGAATTAACGTCAGATTTAAAATTCAACCGATTGGTTTAGTCATTTCTGAGCTTGAAGTTGTGATATACTTTAAAATGTTGCTTTGACTTCATTATTTTTCGTTTATCCTGTGCAAATATAGAATTCGTTAATACTTGAATGTAATTAAAGTGATATCCCGTCATTAATTAACTGTATTTTTTTTTTCATTAATTGATGGGATGTGGAGCTTATACACTGTGAAAAATTTTGATTAACTTTTCTTTTCATGCAAATCACTTTTTACTTTGGTGAATCTTACTCATGAACAGTATTTCTCTATCGCTAAATTTTACAAGAACCCATACCATAGTAATTTCAGTTACGAATGAAGCTAGCTATAGTAAATGACAGAAAATGAAATGTGCGATAGTAAAATGAATTAGACTGCCCATTAAATTAAGATTTGCTCTGCTGAAATTTATTTCAAGAAAAAAAAATATCAAAACGTTATTGTTAGATTGTTAGATATTTTGATGGAAATAATATCAAATTTCGTAATAAATGAATACTATGATAATCTCGTAAAAATTACTTGCTATTCTAGTAATTTTTGTTATTTTTTGTAGTTAAATTTCATAGTTATATTTATTAAATGGTAACATTTTAAATTTTCCAATAGGCTTTCGTAAATATTGAAGAGCGAAATATCACTTTTTTAGGTTTCCATTGTAAAATTTTGGTTAGTCACTTCATATCTCACTGATATACTATGCGCTAATAGTAAAATTTAACGGATAATTTTCACTTAGTGTAACGGGATAAAATTAAAAATTCAAAAATATTGTATTTGTGTGATACACCGACAGAATGAAAGTAACTTTTGAGAAGAATGGAAATACTGAGTAAGTAGTAGATCAATATATGTAAAGAAAGGATCTACTACAAAATATAACTTTGTTAAGATTTATAGCTAACAAAAATGTCGTAACCTCATCATTAACTCTACTCAAGACACGTCGCCGTTATAAGAACATACAGCCGATGTGACTGTTTTCTTGTCACGTGTTTAATGTTTCCTTTTTCTCAGGCCAGAGCTTTATAAGTATATACTGTAATATAGGTTTCAGACGACTGCAAAGCTAGCTCAACTCATCCCTTTCCTTTGTCTTGTTCATCCTGTATCTGTGAGAGATCTAAATCATGGTTTCTGAGTTTTCTCTACTCCTTTGCACAGTTGATACTAACCATCAGTATTGAAAGAACTGTTGCGGCTAAAAGTTTCCAAGTTGTTCATCCGAGTAACGAGAAACGAACTCTAAAAAATTCCAAAAGTACTTTTAAATTGTAAAAGTAGAAAATTTTACAGTACTCACAAGTTACTCTTGCATTGCAATGTACTTTAGTTTTTTATATCTGTTTTTTTTTTTTGTTATCGTACTTGATTCGTATATTTTTGATTCACTTTTATTGCGTTAATGATTTATGGATTCAATCTTTATTGCTTGCTGATACGCAATAAAAGATAATAGAGAGCTTTTTATCAACTTTTTCCAGCATATATATTTAAACATGTAAATTTTTTTTATAGGATTTCATTAGAAAAAGTTTTACTTGTCTCATGAATAGAGTATAATTTTTGCACTTGTAATATTTTAAAAAATGCATTAGAAGATTTAAGCTTAAGTCACTTAAATAGGATCAGAATGTTTGTATATAACTTGAATTTATCTTTTATTTGTTTTACTTTTGTATACTCGATGAAAAAAGTTTTTGTCTAATTATATATGATCATATATAATTAGACAAAAACTTTTTTCATCGAGTATACAAAAGTAAAACAAATAAAAGATAAATTCAAGTTATATACAAACATTCTGATCCTATTTAAGTGACTTTTTTTTTAAGTTTTTTAAAAATGTAGAGTAATTTGAAAAATATGTAAAATTTATTTATTTTTATTTAATTAATAAAAAAATTAATTTTTTAAATAACAAATTTTAAAATTATTTATTTATTTAATTTAAGAGGAAAATATACAGTTTTGTACCGTAGTACTTTTCCTAACGCTAGGTAGCTACATTAAATCACAGATTAATTGAATAAGTCTGAAAGTACAGTAATTAGCAAATTAAATAAAGTATAGTATAAAATTAGAATTCTTAGATGACTGTATTATCTTATAACAGTTCAACGTCTGAAACAAAATGGTTAAGATACAAAATATAGTATAATAAAGAGCACGGCAGATTGGATCAGGCGAGGCGTCAGGTCGGATCAGCATCTACGTTTTCGTCTTCTTGGAGTTTAGATCTGAGCTTCAGGCATTCAATTGTATAATTTGCTAGGGCTTCAGTACTCCGAGCAGATTCAAGAGCTAGTAGTTCACTGGCATCGTGAAACATTTCCAAGTCAGATAACAGCTTCGTGCGGAGATCTTGGTATGTTGGACATTTAAGCAAAAAATGGGTGGTGGTTTCTGGTTCATCCAGGTTACAGACACTGTAGCCACCTCTGGGTGTAAGTTTGTATGTGATGCCGTTGAAGGTTAAATTGCAGGCGTATACTGTGGCGAGACGAAGCTGTGCTTTGATGTACAGTGCATAGTACGGGCATCTTAAGAGGTAATAGGCGGGT